GCGGGAGAGGACCCCGACCCGGGAGGGCGGGAGAGGACCCCGACCCAGGAGAGCGGGAGAGGACCCCGACCCAGGAGAGAGGGAGAGGACCCCGACCCCGCCCCAGGGGGCACCCACTGGCTTGGGACAGGAAAGTTGGTGGGTAAAATGGAGGGAATCCCGTCACCTGGGACCCAAGTTCTGCAGGTGAGGAAGGAACTGCTGGCCACCGGCTGACCCCCCAGCCTGGTGCCGGCAGTGCCAGGCCACCGCAGGTGCCGGCACAGGCCGAGACGAATGAGTGCCAAGCGGGGGAGGGCGTGGACTTCACATGCAGCGCACATCTCTCCCGGCACTCACGGTCACGAGAAAGGAGGTGAGGTCCTGCCACGGGGCCTTTTGGGGGTTCCTCTGGGTTGGGGCTCTTTGGTGTCTAGGACTTTGGGGCAAAGCTGTTAAAGTGACTTTTCTGAGAGCCTGCAAGCTGGGGCTGGGTGGAGAGGGGGCACTGGTCACATGGGCATGCACAGAAAAACCGAACTCTAGAAAGTTTAACGGTAGTTGTCTTTAAACTAACGTTGGGTGGTGGGATTATAGGTAATTTTTGTTTTGTTTTGAACATTTCTTCACATTCTCTGTTCTTCCTAAACGAGCATATCTTCTTGTGCAGTGGAAAGCCCGGCGCCTCGAGTCCCAGCCGCCACAGAAACCACCGCCTGTCTGGAGCCTCACTCCCCAGACACCCAACATGCACCCTACTCCATCCATCGTTAAACAGCCTTCTAACTGCCCTGTGGAATTAGAATGCGAGCCACATTTGTAATGTAAAGTTTTCTAGAAGTCACATTAAAAAAAAAAAAAAAAAGCCCAAACAGGTGAAATTCATTTTTTTGGTGAAGTTAAGTTTAATAATACTTTCTTTAACCCGGTATATCCAAAAATTGTCATTTCAATGGGTAGCAATATAAAAATTTTTGTACTGTTTCAGGTTTTAAATTTTAATTTAAAGTAATGAAATACAATCAAAAGTTCAGTTTCTCAATTGCAATAACCACATTTCAAGAGCCTGATAGCCACTAATGACTCGTGGCTGTGGTGTGGGACAGCCCAAATCTGAGTTACAGAAAGAAAGGAAAGCTCAGGAAGGGAAGAGAGAATTGGCTAAGCCACCAGCTGGGGAATGTAGCATCAGGATTGAAACAGGGATTTCCAATTCAGGACCTTGTGGGGTTTCCCCTCTCCCACAGGGCCTCTTGGTGGTACAGGCCTGGTTTAACTCCTGTGGGGAAAGGAGGGTCTTCTCGTTTGGGATGACCATGATTTTTTTTTTTTCAGTACAGACAGAGTCTCCCTGTGTTGCTCAGGCTGGTCTCAAACTCCTGGCCTTAAGCAGTCCTCCTGCTTTGGCCTCCCAAAGTGCTGGGATTACAGGTGTGAGCCACCACACCCAGCCCATGGTATTTAATG